ACAACCAGATTGCCTCAGATGCTGAGTGTGGAACAACAGGACTTACTGTTTGCTGGATTTTGGACTTGTTTGGGTCCCATTCCTTTGTATCCCCATTTGAACCCTTCGAAATGGTAACGTTTATCTTGTACCTCTGAATGTTGGAAGTGTTTAACTTTGTTCTCATTTGTACACAAGGTTATAGCTAAGAGTTTGCCTTAGATCTCAGTGGAGATGTGGGACTTGGACTTTTCTGAAACTGTTAGGACTTTAGCAATACTTGGAGATGGACTAAATATCTTTTGCATAAAGGATATGCACGAATCTTTGGGAGACTAGGGATAAGATGTTATGGTTTGTGTTCAGATGGCCCCAAGTGTCATGCCATCATGGAGGCAGCTGAATTTGGCATTTGTGATTGGTTCATTGTCTAGCTCTGGGATTGGCAGTGAGTGCTGCACCCAGCATACAATATAAGGCGGAAAAGTAGGTGTGCTCTTTCTCCTTTTTGCCCTGTTGGCTCTTTCTGTTTGTGGCCACCATGAATGGCTGCTCCTCAGTCATACCACCCTGCCTTTTGTCAATTGAGTATGGACTCCAAAACCTCCAAAAACTTGTAAGCTAAGTAAACTCTTCCTTTCTTCACTTTGGGGATCAGGTATTTTGTCTCAACAACGAGGGACAAGTAACCAAGACACCAGCGCTGACTGGCATACTGGACAGTTTTTTCTAGCCTTTTCCTCCTGGACTGTAAGGAATAAATACATGCTCCCAACCTTAATGTATACTACATTCTGTCATAAGCACACTTAATAGGGAATCAGAAACAGATGGATAGATGGTTCTACCACATGGCCACTGAAGTCCATATATACCAGCAACTGGAACCAAATAATGAAATGCAAATTTGTCTGCCAGCATCATTGAACTTATGTTCTCCAAAAACAAAATATCTAGTGACTGAAAGTGGTGTTGAAACTCTTGTTGAACATGGGTGGTGAGTGGGTATTGCAGACAGACATATGCCCTGGTACTCAGTGCATTCTGGTGGACCCTGCCTTGGTTATTTTTCCAAATAATTAGGACATAAAGATTTGCTATGAATGTTACAGTACCCTGAGCACAATTCATCTTTTAAAAAGTTCAGAAAGATCTGAGGAGCTGGAAGTTCCTGAGAATCAAACTTTTATTTAAAAAAATTTTAATTACAATATGTCTGCAATACATAGTAAGTATCTCCGTGGTAAGGAATCAGTTATGCAATGCATTGTGATCGTTTTTACTCTCCTTTCTCTCCTCCGTTTCATCTCTTCCCAGATCCAGACCCTCTGCCCACCTCCACAAAGCCTACCTCTCTGTTTTTTATCGTCTATCTTTTATTTTGCTTTTTAAATTATTTATACTTTGGGTATCTCATGTAAGAGAAACCAAGTGATATTTAACTGTCTGTGTCTAACTCATTGTACTTAACATTATGGTCTTGAGTGCATCTATTTTCCTACACATGACCTAAACGTATCCTTCTTTCTGGCTGGGTGGTACCTTTTAAGCATATATTCTTATTGGACTAGTCACATACAGGTTTCTAACTCAAGTGGTACCACCTGATTCTATCTGAAGGATTTCTCACCTGGCTCCAGCAGGGGATGAGAGTGGGGCCAGAGCAGAAGCCTGGTTTAGGTTCTGTTGGTCTCTTCCCTGCCCTATTAGGGCTTTCTGGAAGGGGCACTATTTAGGGCCCCAGGAAGCAGGTTCCACATGGATCGTGGGCCTCTGAGAGTGTGCTTTCCCTCTGGCTGGGACTTTCACCCCATTTCCTCCTATCCTTTGCTTGGGAGAAATGGAAAAGTCACAGAAAGGCAAAGGAATGTGTGAGGGGCTGAGAGACAGAGAGAGAGAGAGAGAGAGAGAGAAAGAGAGAGAGAGAGAGAGAGAGAGAGAGAGAGAGAGAGAGAGAGAATGCATGCCTGTGTATTTATCTAAAAACAAAACAAGGTCAACAAATTCAAATCAAAACAGAAACTAAAAGGTGGGCCTCCAAACAAAAATGTTTCCCTTCAAAAGTACCATAGCCTATGGACTCCTGGTCTGTTACTCCTTTTTTAAAAAAATTCTTCCATTCATATAGAAGGATTATTGGATGTTTCCCAACTTCATGAGCAAAATCTGGACACTTTTGAGGAAAATCATCACATCCAAGATTTAGAAAAATGAAAAATGGAATCATTGACCTAAAATATGCTAGTGACACCTGCAAGCCCACTCCTCCCTTTCCCCCTCTCTTCCCCCCGCCCCCCCCCATTCCATCCCTTAGGTACTGGGGATTGAACCCAGGGTCTTCTCACTGAGCTACATCCCCAGCCTTTTTTAAAAATGAAAAAAAAGAGTATTTTTGTTTTGTTTTGTTTTTTGACACAAGATCTTTCTGATTTGCTCAGGTGGTGCTTGAAGCTGTGATCCTATCCTCTAGCTTCTGCCTCCCAAAGTGCTGGGGTGGCAGGCACATGCCGCCACATCTGGCAGTTAATTTATCAGTGACCCCATGTCACAGTCCACGGCAGGGTTTTCAGGCCTTTCCCACACTCCCAGATCTCCACCCGGACTCTGCCTTTGAGAGCTCAGAACCCTCTGATGTGAGTCTCTTTAAATGAGGACTCTACCGTGGAGCCTCCCCTCCTCCGGCCATCTCCTCTGTCCTGGCTCAGTCCTAATGAAAAGACCACCCGAGGCTTTAGCTCCTCACCGTGTCCCTCCTCTCAGGCCAAAGAGAGCAGAATTTCCAGACCCAGCAGGCACCCAGCCCAAGTGGGAGCTCCGAGCTTCCAGCTGAGGTTCTGTACTTGCCCTGGGGAGCTCCAAGGAGAGCTGAGGCCTGGGCACGCCCCCTGGGGACAGCTTGCCAGCTCCCTTCCTCTCTTTAGTTATCTGGGTTTGGGAGGATTCCATTTGAAAAGCATTTCTTGTTTGCAGACTGTAAAGGCAGGTGCTTCTTCCTTCAGATTAGGTGGATTTACTAAGACTTGAGGTAGAGAAGGCAGAGGACATGGCCAGAGTGCTGGACGTGGCCTGCAGTGTGGGATAGGAAGGGGTTGATGGCGTGGGCAGTGGGAGGGAGTTGTTGCCGGGGGGACGGAGGCCCCGACGGATTCCAGGCTGAGAGGAAGGCCGGGACTTAGGAGGCAAGGGTGACGCAACTGCAGTTAGGTTGAGATGGGGACATGCGAATTACAAAATAATGTTTTACTGAGTAAGGAAATGGCTTTTGGAAGTCACTACTTACTCCCCAAATGGCAGCTGTCACCCCTGTCATAAGTATGAACCAGTGAAGCAGACCCAGTACGACTTCTGTTACCAAGTCCCTCTGATGAGCATCTATTTTATTATTATGTGACTTTCTGAGTAGTAGGGGCCCTGCTTGGAATTTAGATTACTTTCCCATGTAGTGTGACCTTTCCCAGATTACTAAGGCGTGTGACATTTCTCTGACGGAAACACTGATCCACAAACAAAGGCTCTTGTGGAAGACGCGATGCCCAGGGAACTGCCTCTTTCTGTGGTAAGTGCGTTTGTAGACTGTGGGGAGCCCCAGATCCTGTGAACACAGGAGCAGTGTTCTCTCGGGAATGGGGGGCCAGGCCTGGTGCTCTCCCAAGGTTTCATCTGAGCCCCACCTCTCCATCCCCTCCCTCCTGTACTTCCTGAGTGTCCTGCCACAAATGGTATCACTTTTGTGACAGCCTGACCCCACCCTTACAGTATGCATGGCTTCAGGTCCAAACACAACCATGGGTGCTAGAGCCCAGTGCCCCAGAAGGGAGAGGAGGAAGCTTCTAGAACACATGTGGATTTCCTTTGATGTCACAGTATTTCAAAGGCCGTAGTTCTTTGCTTCACTGACCACCCATCCCTACTGCCCCATTTGAGCTGTGACTTAAGGTAACCTAGAAATAGAAGGCATCTCTTGTTTTTTTCTTTTGGTGGCCTTTCACTGTGGCATTGATGCAGTTACTGTCTGGCCCAAGTGGGTCCTTGGGAGCCCTTGTCTGAATGAGCAGCATGATCTCAGTCCTTAGGTGCCTCCCTGTCACGATGCTTGGCTGAGTCTCATGCAGCAGCTTGGACCAGGTGACCCAGTCAGTGCCAGCTGCTGTCCATGGGACGGGATATCCACTGTACTTGCATAAAAAAAGGTTTAAAAAAATCATTTTACCTCTTTAAGAAGTCTCAGCCTTGAACCAGGATAAAAACTGCCCATGGCCCCTTGATGTTTTAAGATAATTATGAAAAAACATTTCTCCCTGTTCATTAAAGCTGTTAAACTGGCTCTGACTTTCAAAGTTGGGGAGCAGGATTAAATTATTTAGCTTCCCAGGAGCTCACAATTGATTAGGAGATAAGATAGCCTTTTCCCTCCTTAGTTTTCTTTTATATGTCCAAGAAAAGTGGCCTTTCATGGGTCCCTTTTTTGACCCCAGTAGGCACTGAATCCTCTCCTGTAACTTCTTGGTTAAGTTCATGAAAGGACTTCATCCCTGGGCCCTTTCAGTCAATGTGTTCAGAGAGCACAGAGGTTACCCATTCCCGAAGAGTCCGTGGAGTCGGTGTAATTATCCCTCATGCTTAGTGATGAGGAGACGTGGAGAAGACCTGCCCCTTGGTTGAGGTCACACAATTAGCTGGTGGACTTGGTCCAGCTTTGCTGTCAGCCGCCACAGACCCCTTCCGCTACCCTGTGCAGCCAGCTCCACCCCTGCTGAACGCAGGTAAAGCTTGCAGCCAGTCTCAGACCCCAGCATCACTAGGGGAAGCTCAGGGTCAGTGGAATTCTGCAAAAATGCAGAGTATGGGGGGAAAAACAGAACAAAAGAAATCCACTGAATCTTTGTAGAAGAGACCTATGAACTCAGCCCCGGATGTTTGGCTTTAGCGCACCTCTGCTTCCCTACAGGACACTGCACACATTTGTCACCTGAGCCATGGAAGGCCCAGGCCCGTCCCCGTCCAGGACATGGGGTGCCTACCTCCTTCGAACTCCGTTTGGCAGTTGCCCGAGGTCTCGTTGAGGCTCTCCTCCTCGTTGATGATGATGTTCTCGATGTCCTTCATGGTTAAGTGATCCCGGAAGGCATGGTACAGAATGTGCTTCAGCTCCTCCAGAGTTATCCTCTGCATGTCGAACTGTGGAGAGACAGAAGAGGGAGATGACCACAGGCACAGAAGCGTGCACTCAGCTCGGACATGACCAGCGAGCCTTAGGGCACCCCACTGGAAACTCCTCTCAGCTTCTCGGGATATCAGATGAGCAGTTTTCCATCCTGTTTAGCTCGGAGCATATTTTCGAACTTGCAGGGATGTATTGGGAATACAGGGAGTGGAACATAGCCCCCTCAATTTAGACTTTTGGAGCAAAAATGGCACCTGCTCGTTTTCTACTCATCCAGCCATCTGCTGTCAACCCTCCACATCTCGTGGACTTCAGAGTTGTGTCACACTTCAGACAATGCATATGTTTCTCAAAATGGTATCAGCTTCCAAGAAACCAGGTCTTTCTGTCTTGTCTGAAGTATGGTGGTGCTACGTAGTTTGGGGGTTTGGTCACTGAGGGTTCAGGCTTGGTGCTTAGCTCAGGCATGTTGGGAGGTAAGGCCTAAGGGACTGTGGTTAGCTCACTGGGGGCCCTGCACTTGGAAGGGATTAGGGTAGCTCCAGGGGGACTCCACTTAGTGCTCTAGGTGGGAGTTCATAGCGAAGAGTGAGCCTGACCCCTGCTCTGCTGTCTTCTCATGTCATGTCTTCTGCAAGTGCTTGGACACTGTTACGATATCTGCCACAATGTTTTCAGCAAAATATGGCAGAAGCCGGCTCCAGGCTCTTCTACTCCAGAGTCATGAGCTACACCAATGTCTTGTGACAAGATATCCAGCCTCAGGTATTGTGTTACAACAATGGAAAGTGGACTGATACAGTGTCAAAGTAGTGTCTTGTTCTTTTACCCTTATCAGATAACACCCAAGTTCAAGGCTGAGTTTCTGAACAATAGCCACTGAAAGGGAGGTGTGAAGCTCTCTATATTATCCAGTCTCTCTTGGGGATAGGATTATGCTTTCCTACTCCATTTATATCAGGTCTGGATATGTCACATATCAGCTGGTGATATATAAGAGGAAATCACATAAACCATATCCAGTTAAAAGCTGTAAGAGCCACCATGTAGTTCTGTCATTTGTTCTTTTCCCTCCGCTGGGAGAATAACATGCCCCAGACAGAGCCTGGGGCAGAATGGGGATAAAGTGCTATCCCATAAAAGACGAGGCTTATGAGTAAGAAGTTATTGTTATTAGCTATAGAGGGTTGGGGCCTGTTTGCTACTGCAGCATACCTTAGTCCTTGGTCTGAGTCAACAAGACAGAAATCAGTATGTAAAAGCGAGAGGGTACCATAACGAAAATTCTAGATGCTCAGTTCCTGGGCCAGGCAGTGAGAAACAACAGCACAGTGTTACTGAGGCTGGAAACCTGAGGAGCTTGTGGTAAAACTGCTGCCCGTGATAACTTGGAGGATAACTTGGAGTAACAGGTTTGGGAAACAGCATGCTTTGCTTGTAATTACTCGCATCTGTAATCAGTTGCATCTTGGGGCATCTGAGGGGGTACTAGAAGAAAGAGATGCACTCAGGAAAGAGCTGGTTGATTGGCAAGCCAGGAACGAAGTAGTCCAGGGATTCCTGGTCTGGTGGGGTTGAGAGAAGCCAAGTGTTTCCCATATTCTAACTAGTAAGAGATAAAGTTAACAAATGCTTTAAGTGACTATACTTGCTTATTAAAACAAAATATCCCTTGTCTAAATGTCTGCATCAGCCATCCATACATTCAGAAGGATTTAGGATTCAAAATAACCGTGGATGTGGTAATTGGCACAAACTGACTGGAATCAGATAAAAATATAACTCAGTTCTTGAGAGAGCTGTGTTGACTGGGAGCCAACAGCTCTGGATGGAAAGATACTACAGCTTTAGTATTCAAATATTGCAGTGAGCCCAGCATGATGGTTCATGTCTATAATCCCAGCAGTGTGGGAAGCTGAGGCAGGAGGGTCCCAAATTCTAGGGCAACTTAATAAGATCCTTTCTCAAAATTTAAAAAAAAAAAGCTAGGACTGTGGCACAGTGTAAAGGCTTAGTGCAAAGTAATCGGGCCACCCATGCACCGCCCTTGGAAGGGATTGATGCTGGTCTCGCGCGTGGTGAGCTAGCTCTCACGGAGGCAGGCTGCTGTTAAGCAAGGAATCCATGTGCTTGGTCCCTTCTGCTGTGACCAGTGTCCTCTCCATTTCTCTGCCATGTTGGGACCCAGCCAAGGGGGGCCCTCACCAGAGGCTGAGCAGGTAAAGTGACCTGATCTTGGGCTTTCAGTCTCTGACACAGTGAGCAAAATAAATTTCTTCTCAGTACCCATACTGGAGTATTTTGTTAAGTGAAATGTACAGAGAGAAATTCATATTTCTGATCCAGAGTGTGGACTGTAAGCTGTTGTATAATTTCCAATGCTTTGTTTCTTTCCCCATGAAAGGAGTGTAAAGAGGGTGATGGAAAAATGCAATGAATATTTAAATGAAAAATGAACAACAGTAAGACACACTGTCATTAACACACTTACCCATCATTCTTGCCACTTTCTGAAGCAGCTCTGGAGTCCCTTTTCCTGAGTGTCTTTGTAAGGTGGGATAAAAAATATGGTGAATGCTACGGCAAGTGCCATCCAACAGAAAGGTAGTCTCCTCAACACCTGGCTGTGTGTCCTCATTAACTTTGTTCACCAGATCTGGCACCTTGTGACTTCTGGCCTTCTCCAAGTCAAAATGATTATGAAAGGGGAAGCCTTTGAATGGGTTCAGGAAGCTGAAGTAGCTGTGAGAACGCAGCTTAAGGCACTCACAGCAGGGAACTTGCAGGTCCCCTTGGGGAAGTGGCAGGGAGACTAGCTAAGTGTGCTCAAAGTGAGGGGAAGGATTCGGAGGGGCATGCGTGGCAACGTGTCTTTTATTACCGTGCACGTGTTCTGCCATTTCTTTTTCTTTTACCACAAAACACTTATCCTACATAGGAGCCACCTCCTCCCAAGTGCAGGAGGACTAAACACAGCAGAGACTCTCAGCCAGTCTTCAGAGATCTGAATGAGAAATAAACTCCTGTTGTTAGCCACTAAGAGTTTGGTCTTTCTTTAGTATAACTTAGCCAAGGATGAACACAAATCAATGTAAGTTTTTCTGGAAAACGATGAAAGAAAATTTGAGATACTTTTCTTTCCCTGATTTCTTTGTTACCTTGCTTTGAGTATGCATCCTCTTCTAAGAAATTAAACTGGGTTCCTGAAAAAGCCATCAGTATGAGTAAGAGCGGCTGCTGAGGAGGATGAAGGAGGCTTGCTTTCTGCATTATGGTTTAGTCACCGTGCAAATGAGTTTTGACACATATTAATCCATGGGCAAATCACCGGTGTACAAATAAATATCAGTACACAGATGTAAATACAGCTAAGGGAGGACTGTGGTGCTGGCCTCTTGTAGGCTGACAAAATACAGGGGACAATGATTCAGAAATGAGAAAACTGATCCCCCAGCCACCACCAAACCTGGGGAGTGAGGAACTGAATTTCCATTTTCTGGAAGACCAGTTGAAGAGCTGGAGTTCTTAGAAAATTCTCAGGACAGTGAAGAGCTTGCTTACCTCTAAAATTAGGCAGAAAGCCTGGCCAGGGGCTATGAGAAGAGAGGGAAAGGTATGGTTACAGAAACCTATAGTGTTGGCTCTTTGGGCCATGTTTTCCTATTAGGATTCTAATATCTGAGCAAAATTAGTTGAGTAGTAGTCCGTATGCCTTGCTTGATGTCAGAATATCTGCCTCTTAAAACTCTGAAAGAAATCACTGTAAAACATGGACATAAGGCAAGCTCTCTCCTGTGATTACTGGCCTATTTAGTGTTTAAACAGTTTTTGAGTCATTTTTGGAATTTTGTTTTGAAAACCAGCCACAGTGTTTTCATTATTGTTAGCCTATAATTATATCCTATTTCTTATCATTGCATTTGTGCTTCTCTTTTCTAGTTCTATTTTTTGTCTCTTTTTATTTCTGTGTTTAGTGGGTCATAGAAAATGTGGCTGTTTTTAAAAACCTAAGTAACTTTCCTTTATAATGGGATCTCTGTAAGATCAAGTCACACAAATATATTTACTTTTATCAGTTATATTGTGTGACTTTATACTTGTATTCTTTAGTTTCTGTAACCTTAATTTCTTACTTGACCATGAAGAATGTTTTAGAGTCTGTGAAAGAAACAAAGTCCATAAGTTGCCATTAAAATCGTGCTTTTTGTTTTTTGTACTGGAGCTAGCACTCACAACCTTGTGCTTGCCAGAAAGGCTCTCATAATAGTTTTTAAATGAAGCTATTCTTTGTTTTTCCTTGGTCCTTGTTTGTAGTCCTTGTTTGTGCTGGGGATCGAGCTCGGGGCCTTGTGCATGCCAGGCAAGTGCGGTGCCACTGAGCTACGTCCCTTGCCCAGGACCCCATGTTTACACACGTGCAACTCCTTGTGTGGAGCTGGTGCATGAACAAAACACGTCTCCATTCCCTTTCCACCCCCTTTATCCTTCCTCCTCCCTGTCCGTTCCATCTCTTGATCCCCTCCACCTTTGAGCTATTAATATATTTAATGCAAAATACTTATATGCTTATTGTCCTAGTTACTTTTTTCTCATTATGGGGGCAAAATACCTGATGCCCAACATGAAAGAAGGAAAGGTTTATTTCTTACAGTTCTTAGAGGTTTCAGTGCCTACTCAGTTGCCTCTAAGGTAGCATGGCATGGCAGGGCATCCATTCATGGCCACTGCAAACAACATGGCATAAACCAGCAAGAGAGAGAGACAACTTCTTCCCACCATTACATTGCATCCTGGCTCCACCCCTGGGCAGGTGAAACACTCACACCATCAATCCGAGTGCAAGACAATGAACCAATCACATACCCTAAGTTTGGTTGAGTCCATAACTGCATGAGGCTTGGGGGCCACTGACATAAACCATGACACTTATGCAAGAAATAGTTCTTGAGGAGAACTGTGAACTATGGAGATGTAATGATGAGCAAGCCGTAGCTCCTGCTGACAGAAGACAAGC